AAATTTTGCATGAACTATAACTTATGGACCCTAAGGATACAAAATTGAGACTTTAAAAAAATCTAGAGCGAAATCCTGAACTTTGAGAGCCGGTATATATTTTATACCGGCGCCCCTCTGAGACATTTTTTTCCAGGTAGCTGCGAACTGTTAATCTTTGTTTTTAAAATTAATTTTGGGTACTTTTGATGTGCGTCTGTAGTGATGAGTGCTTTAATATAGTTATGCAAGTCTAAAGACAATTTTTTTTTAAAATTTTGGCAGAAATTTAAAATTTTAAAAATAAAATTTATGTTTTTTTTATGCACTTTGATGACGCAACCCAGCTGAACATACTTATGTAAAATATGGGTAAAAAGCTTTTCAATTTGATTTAAATTCAATATTATTTTATAAAAAAATTTAGCAAATATAACACTGCATGTGTAAATCGTATCATGCTGTAACTGAACTAATATAATATTACAAGCAGATGTAACTGAGCCGAAAATTAAAAAAATTGAAAAATGAAGCACTACGACCGACTCAGCTGAGAAAGTATGTTGCATTTTTGAAGTAGTATTTTATACTTTAGATAATATGTGAAAAAACAACCATGCTTCATACTATGATACGAAGAATCCCCCCCCCTCCACGCACACACACTTTAGATTATCAAGGACTGTAAGGGTCCCTTTTTTATTTTTTGTAAATATTGGTTGTAATGTATCTTTTTGTTCAGGAAGAAACGCCGTTAAACAATTTTATTATTTGATACACCTCAAAGCTGTTATTCTGATTTTCAACCCCTTTGGCTGCATAGGGGCTCCTTTTCAACTTTTGGATAAATTTTAGTTTGCATCTAAAATGGGCCTTAAAAATATTTTTCCTCCTTTCACCAACTGTGAGAATTTATTTTGGAAACAACCTATTTGTATCAACGAGAGCGCAGATTTCTCTTGTGTTTTTTAGTCTTTCATCTGAAATTAACAAAGAATTTCCCTAAAGAATAAAAGCATGCTTTCAAACCAGCAGTTTTTGTGAAGGAAGAGCGACGGAGAGCTCGCGACTTCGGGTGAGATGGACCTTAAATACATTTCCATTTTAAGTGAGCTTTCCTTTTGTGTGATCTTATCACACCTCACAAAGGGAAGAAGGCGTGACTCCCAAATGACAAATTAGTTGTCAATCACCTCTTTCATTTTCCTTGCATTCTAGAATTTTGGAAAACACGAAGCAACGGGTGTCTTTTGGGGGCTAACATGCCATATTTAACCCCCACAATTGTTTAAAGTTTTGAACCCCAGATGGCAATTTTGAAATCAATGAGTCTTTTCTCCCGGGAAAGAGATAAGTGCTGCTGAAATAAAAAATTTAGCTTAAACACAGACGAATGAAACTCGAGCTGAGTACACAAAGAATAAATGAAATTAATATACTTGTATTCAGTCCTAGCGTAGAGTCAATAAACTCCCCATTCCTCCATGAACATAATACTGAATCCTAAACGACTTATAAATTAATCATGAAAAATTATTACATCATAAACTGTTATAAAAAATAAAGAAATTCTTTCATGTCACAGAGTATAGAAGGAGAAGACTGGTGCTGCCATCTATTGGCGTGGTACCCTCAGTGTGGGCGCCGGTATATATTATATACCGGTTTTAAAATCGTATAAATAATCTTCTGTTAATTATCATTTCTGACAAAAATGAAGTAAATATATAAGATTCAGCATGTGTACGTCATATATTTGCAGGTTTTGAATCTTTTCTTTCCCTCCAATAGAATTTATCAATCTTCCAACATGATACCTTGCAAAGAGGTACAGTCAAAAGTCGTTAATTCGGACACCCATAATTCGGAATGATCTATAATCCGGACATCAAAACTAAAAACTTTCTGCGCATGCGCCGCGTTGACACATGCGCAGAGGCGTTCACGCGTGCGCGTAAGACCTTTTACGACTGCGCATATGAGTGTGCGCAAGTGCAGAATACGTTTTAGCGTGCGCATTTTATGTATAATGGACATATAAGCTAAAATTATCTAATTATCTATTTCAGTTAATGTTGATGATTGCGTTGTTCCTTAATTTTCGAATTGCATCCGGCTTATTATTTTTTGCAGACTGTAAGAGCAATTTTATAAAGGTAAGTTTAAACTTTCGATTATATCAAATAGAATTTCCGATATATATTTGTTAATATGTAAAGGATCTAAAGCGAAAGTATGTTTTGAAATCCGAAATCTGTTTATCAATTTCACGCTGCTCGGCGGCGGGGCGCGTAATGAATTGGAAGTTGATTTGTCAGCACTATCCTTATCTTCAGCGCAGATGTTTTTATTTTATTTGGCTTATATAATTCCTTACCAAATGTAGTATTTCATCTCGATATGCTCCGTCTTTGATATGATTTAAAACAAGTTCCTCGTCATTATAATTCGCTTCCGATAGCGAAGAAACGTGACAGAGGTTATTGAAAACAAAAAAAATTTCGATTGACAAATTAGACGGTGTTCTCGACACAGCAATTATAGGACTTGAACGGCGGAACTTTGTAACTGAACAAGAAATTATGTCTGTTTAATAGAATTAAAGAGAAAGTATTATCACATGAAACGAAGCAAAAACTTAAACAACTTACATTGAAAGAAATGTTTAATAAAGTAAAAAAATAAATATTAAGCTTTTATTTTTTGCAAATTTTGATACCCTTTAGATCATAATTGTTCTTTATTTCATAAATTACGGTTTCATATTTTGAATTTTAGAATTTCTGCATGCCATCTTACGAGATTTAAACTGATGATCTATAATCCGGAAAAATCGATAATCCGGAATCGCCAAAGTCCCGACGAGTCCGGATTAACGACTTTTGACTGTATATTAATTTCATAACTGCAAAATATTGAGCATGCATAGGGTGATGCTACCATTTAGAATTGAAAGGAAACACTAGAAACTTACGATTATAGCTTTTGGTGTAGAAAAATTAGCATTTTTTCGGAGGTTAAAAAATTGACAAACAACCGGTATATATTATATACTGGTGCCCTTCAAAGGGTTAATGTATGTGCTTATTTATATTTTAAGTAGTGTTTTTGAATTTAATTATATTTTAATTAAATGATAGCTATTTTGTGAATTTTATGTTTGTAGGAATTTGGTATATGTTTTAGTTGAAGTAAATGTGCATGGAAATAATTTATTGACACTAAGTATTTGTAATGTTTGTGGTATGAATTCGTTGGTGACGTTTATAATATAATAGATAATTTAGAGGTAAAAGTTTTTGGATATTTTATTTATTTTATACGTGGAAATGTTCATATTTGGAAAAGGTATATACTTTTTCGTTATTAGGTAATTTCATATATGTTCTTTGTAACGGGTTTAAAGATTCAGAAAACTGTCATGCATTTTCGTGAAATTTTTCAAATTTATGAGAAAAAAGGAATGTACATGTATATGGTGAAGAGTGTACGCAATGCCATTTTTGTGCAATTCTGGGATTTTTTTTTTAAGTAAAAATAAGTCGACGTGTACATGGTTTAGTGATATATTTTAATTAAATGATAGTTATTTTGTGAATTTTATGTTTGTAGGAATATGGTATACGTTTTAGTTGAAGTAAACGTGCATGGAAATAATTTAAATATTTGACACTAAGTATTTGTAATATTTGCGGTATGAATTCGTTGGTGAAGTTTATAATATAATAGATAATTTAGAGGTAAAAGTTTTTGGATATTTATTTTATACGTGGAAATGTTCATATTTGGAAAGGGTATATATTTTTCATTATTAGGTACTTTCATATATGTTCTTTGTAACGGGTTTAAAGATTCAGAAAATTGTCATGCATTTTCGTGAAATTTTTCTAATTTATGAGAAAAAAGCAGTATACATGGATATAGTGAAGAGTGTGCGCAATGCCATTTTTGTGTAATTCTGGGATGTTTTTTTAAGTAACAATAAGTCGGTGTGTACATGGTTTATGTGTATGTTTTATTTTGAAAAACGCTTAAGGAGTATGGTATTGTGTACTTTTTTCCAATTTTGCAGTGAATATTTGTCATGATTAAGCAGTTTTGTTAGATAAAATTTCTAACATAAGTGTAATTCGGCTAGTAGATTGTTGGAAGAAGTGTTCAGTAGATAAAAGAAAAGAAACATGTCTTATGACGGCGGAAAAAAATAGAGGGTTGCTGTAGGAGAGTTGGTCGCCAAATTTTCGCCAAAAAAATCGTCAAGTTACCATAATGTAAAGATCAACCGCAATATTTTGTCCTGCTGAAATTTTTTATTGAAAGATTAATCAGATTTATGCTACGAAGAATAATGATCTGTGAGATGGTAAAGATGTTTTTGCACAGTACTTCTTCCCTCATCGAATCATTTTTCAATTTTTCTTTTATAATATTGATTTTGATAAGTAGAGTTTTCTGTCTGTTAGATAAAATAAATCCATTACTATACTATCTCACTAGATAGTATACTATTACTATACTATCTCACTAGATAGTATACACCAGATTTGGTATGAAATGCCCACATTTGTAAATATTTGGAGACAAAATTGACAATATGTTAGAGATTGAGCGAGAACAATCTAAAACATATTTTTAGCAGTTTTCTCGAGAATATTTTCGAAGGTAGGTTAAAGCTATATAAATACTGCCTGTCATGGAAGAAAGTAGGGTCTTGAGTTCAGAGATTAGCTCGAGAGTGATCGAGCGAGTTAGGAGTTCTACTTTAGTGCTTTCCCATGAACCTGTCTTCATAATCACCATTATAGACAAAAGGCTGCGTTGCTGATTGTTTCAGTGTGTCTTTTGCAGTTTTTTAACCAGGGTCTTTGGAAAAGTCCTTGTAACAATGCTTACTAGTAAATAAATTGTGTTTTGATTCTTCATCAAGTGTTAGCATCACTTACTCCAGAACCACAAAGCCGTAGAACACAACATTATTAAACATAATATTTTTTTTCGCAATTATACAGAAAATTCAAATATAAAACTAACTAAATGAAATTTATCAAGCAAATAGCATTAAATTACAAAATTTCTTGAAACATTTGCATTTCACAATAGTCGAACATATTTTAAAGATGTTTAGTGGCCTTTTATTAGTTTTACTAACAGTTAGCTTTAATTCTTTCTTTTATGTTCATCATGCTCCATCCAGAGGTTTACAAATATTTTAAGGACAGTGGCTCACATTAAAAAAGAAGTAAAATCATAATCAGCATGATTTGACGCTGATAATAGTGTCCATTTAAATCTATAAGAAATCCTTATAGAATTACTATGAAAAACTATCATTATTAAAAAACATTTTTATTTAAAAACTAATATTCAATATAGGAGCACTATTGAAATTGTGAAAAGCTAACTTTAAAACTTAAAATAACAGATAATTAAACATACTATTTATGACATTGATTCTGAAATGATATTATGATAATTATACATTAAAAGGTACAAAAAACATACGTTTTATAGCAACAACACACAGTAAAATATTTAAGAGCTTTTTCAATTTGAAAATTCTGTTAATCATTTATCTGGTGGCAGCACTAATTTAGATTTAATTAGGACCCACAGAGATTGCGCCAGGTGGCCAAAAGTCTTGTGTCAGCCCTCTGTATGGTGCACTGACACATATAAAAATGGATCTCAAAAGTTTCAATTTCATTATCAACAAGAAAATTCTTTTGCACAGATATCTGTCCATGTCACCTGTCCTGTGACAAAATTGGAACAATTTTTGCAATTTTCATTGCTTGTTTCTAGTGAAAAGAAGAGTGAATAAAAGGCAGATAAACATCTTAAAGAAAATAACACTGAAGATCAAAAGTAAAAAATAAAAATAATTTTGCTTTCATTTTTCTTTAAAAAAATATGAAAAATTTCCTGTCAAATCCATTATATGATAATACTATGATACATTTTTCATCATGTGACATTTGGTACTATTCCGTTTTGAGGAACGTAAAAAAATTGCAGCAAAAATGTATGCGCAAAAGTGCCAAATCTAGTATACGCGACCATTTAACAGTGCACCAAATCTAACGTACACACTGATTTCAATTTGCATAAGTTTAGATAGTTCTGTATTTCTTAAGACACCATTGAAATACTAGTTTAATTTTAAAATCCTTTTTTGATAACGCTGTTGATTTAACACTTTCCGAATTGCCCAGTGACAAAAAGTCTGCAATAGAATTTTTTTCAAAGTAAAGGCATCATTCATTATAGAAAATTATGTTTGAACAACCAATGAGATGAAATAATGCTGTAGCGATATCTCGGTAGCGAAAATAGCGATACAGGAATCCACTCAGTTATGTTTAGCTTTTTTTATATAAATTATAATAATGATCTGAAATAGTTATTTACTCATATGCTTCCATTCAGTTATGCTTATCCTTTTTTATATAAATTATAATAATAAAAAGGATTATATGAAATTAACCTTTTATCTGAATTAAAACAAAATTAATCTTAGTTAATTTACTATTATACTTCCTTTCTTGCGTTAGGGTTACCGCAATTATTTTTGGCAGCAATGGCATCAACAACAGTTTGGCCATTTTTTACGGTCCTCAAAACGGTATAGTACCTGACATTTTTATGGAAACAGATTTATAAAGCTTGCCTTAAACTCTTTTCAAGGCTGCCAGGCATAAAATCTAATTGAAAAAGTATACATACTAATCCTGTATGAGCAAAAAGGCAGATTTTTGACTTAAAAAAAAAAAAAAAAAAAAAAAAAGTTGGAAAAGAACTGCATAAACTGAATTTTATACAGAAAACTGAGATATTCATTTGAATATTTGGTACTTTTAGGTTATCGGACTGGATTCAGAAATGCACATTTGTATGCATATGTGCACATGCATATATCTGTATGTATACACACATGTGTACATATATACATTGCATACATAAACACATCCATCCACACTTATATACATACATTTCTAAATCAAGTCCTGATAGCAGAAGAGTACTGAATATTCTGAAGCAATTACAATGGATAAAGCTGTTATCATAAAAATATACAAAAGAAGACGAATGAAATTAAGTTTAAACCTTTATAGCACTAGCTTATTGCTTTCGCTAACTGCTTTGGAAACTTCCAGCTTGCAAAAGCTACTGATTATAGCTTTTATTACCTTGTTTACTTTTCAGTTCTGTGATTTATGGCATTATATTTTTTATTTTCTGAATGAAAATATTCTAAAGTTGCCAAAAATGGAAAATAATTTCAATTTTGCCTGAAATTACGACAGATAAAACAAAAAGTGTATTATTTTAATATTCTTTCATCCCTGGTTGCAAAAAACACAGAACAATAATAAATATGAATAAATATCCAGTATACATAGATTTCTTACCTCCAAAGAAATGATGTTTTTTAATTTTTAGAAATGTCTTTTTATATACTTTACACACCTACATTGCATTACTTGGTATGCCGAAGATTTGACTGAAAATATTTTAGAACTCATTTGCCCTTCCTAACAATGCTGTGGAACCTTGTATCAGTTTTCTGATTGATATGCACTGAAACATTTAATACTGGAGCTGGATAGGCACAGCGTTTAGTACTTCTTCATCATGAGCCCAACACATTTTTCATGACAGGCACAAGGAAGACATTTTTAATAGTAATAGCACAACTGCTCTTCGTATCTACATTAAATTCTCAAACAGACAAGTGTAACACAAAACACAAGCAATTTACAGTATGCATACGAGATGATACATTCAGCCATATTTTAGAATTTCAGTACTAAAAGTACTTATATATATAGCCCATTTCATTAGGCAGTACACGTAAACACTACACATTAATTATCATACAAAATGTCTCAAGGAATGTCTTCTACTGTGTAAAGAAATACATGGTTTGTTGATCAAATGAAAATTCATATATGTCACACAGGCTCACCGGTATCAAGAGATTACAGTACATGATTATATGGAATGGAATAAAGCATTCTGTATAATCTCTGCAAGTCATAAATTTCATCACTGAACGACTGGGTAAATTCTACAAATTTTACTGTGGCTAAATTATATCATCGGGGAAGATCAAACCAGACTTCAACTCATACAATGAGGATTCTTAGCTGCATACAGAAGTACTTATTGCATAGGTAAATAAAAGTTGTCACTAATATGGGCTGAAAGGACAGCAGCTTTCTCTTTTGTGCAGATTTCTTCAAATTCATCAATCCAAATGACTAGTTCTTATACTGATATCCACATTTAAATGAATTTAACATACCTTACACACACAATTTCTCTCCTATGTGAATAAGAATGTACTTGGTTAAATTACACATTTCACTAAACATCTTACATACTTCTCACGAATGAAGTTTCTTTCCCGTGTGAATGAGCATATGCACATTTAATTTCCACTTTTGGTTAAATGACCTTTGACATATTTCACACAAATGAGATTTCTCTTCTGTGTCAGTAGGCACATCCTTTTTTAAACAGCCATTGTCACTAAACATCTTCTTACATTTCTCAAACATACGAGGTTCCTCTACTGTGTGAATAAGCATATGCTTGTCTAAAATATCCTTTACACGAAACATCTTCTTACAAATATCACACATATGAGGTTTTTCTGCATGAATAAGCATATGCTTGTTTAAATGAGTTTTTTGATTAAACGATTTCTTACATACTTCACACGTGTGAGGTTTCTCTCCTGTGTGAATAAGTATATGCTTATTTAAATGATGTTTTCGTCTAAATGACTTATTACATACTTCACACACATGACTTTTCTCTCCAGTGTGAATAAGCATATGATTGTTTAAAATACTCCTTTCATTAAATGATTTCTCACATACTTCACAAATATAAGGTCTCTCTCCTGTATGAGTAAGCATATGTTGCCTTAAACTACACTTTTGTCTAAACATTTTCATACATACTTCACAAACATGAGGTTTCTCTCCAGTGTGAATTAGCATATGGGTCTTTAAACTCTTATTTCCTGTAAATGATTTCATACATACTTCACACATATAAGGTTTCTCTCCTGTGTGAATAATCATATGTTCATTTAAATTTCCCTTTTGACTAAATGACTTCTTACATACTTCACAAACATGAGGCTTCTCTCTTGTGTGAATAAACATATGCATTTTCAAACCAATCTTTTGTCTAAATGACATCTTACATACTTTGCACACATGAGGTTTCTCTCCTGTATGAATGAGCATATGTTCATTTAAATTCCCCTTTTGACTATATGATTTCTTACATATTTCACAAACATGACGTTTCTCGCCAGTGTGAATAACTGCATGCATTTTCAAACCAACCTTTTGCCTAAATGACATCTTACATACTTTGCACAAATGAGGTTTTTCTCCTGTATGAACGAGTATATGTTCCTTTAAACCACATTTATATCTAAATGACTTACTACATACTTCACATATATGAGGTTTCTCGCCTGGGTGAATTAGCATATGCTCTTTTAAAACACAGTTTTATCTAAATGATTATTACAAACCTCATATACATGAGGTATTTCTTCTGTTTGAGTATGCAGATGCCCTTTTAAAATATCGCTTTTTCCAAATCTTCAGTTACATACCTAGAAGAATATGAAATTTCTGCACTACATAGATAACTATAATTGAAACTTTTAATACCAAACACCTGCCTATGAACATCATGATGATGTCCATGCTCTGCACGAATGCAAAATAGGTTGCTTAACAAAGATTTCACCCACAATAGTTCAAAGAAGGTTCACTCTACCTGTCGGTGTCTAAGGCAAATACATGTAATTATATTTATAAATTTATCAATGCATCATTATCTCGTGTTTGATGTACGGACGCCTGGATTTCTGGGTGCACTTCATGAAATATTATGTTATTATATTTCACACAAATATGATTTCTTGTCCGATTATATAAACGTTTAATTATGAAATTATGCAGTTCTGGTATACATGCACACGTCGACTGAAGAAAATTTTGGTTTTTCTGGAGTTGTTGGTTAAACAGTGATTAACAGTTTAAAGATGGTACTTATTTAAAAGTGCAAACAGTTTCCACATTTCATAATTTGGGAAGTACTTTATCCAAACATGCATATCAAAAACAGTTCAAGCTTAGCTTAAACTTTATTACAGGTTCGTTGATTAAGGGACCAATGTATAATTAGCATACTGTAGATATAAACTTCTCAAAAAAATTATTAACAAGAAAACAGGTGTAGAATAAATGATAACGAGTTTCCTTTTATGCAGACATATTTTACGGATTATTCTTGTTTTTTCCCCAAACTCGTTTTGTGTTGCCACTATAGCAAAACAAATTGCAAGGCGAAAGGCTTGACAGACAACGGTTCAATAGTGCAAACAATGTCGCTATGCACCTGCTCAGGGGGGGGCCCAAGAGCGATGCGTAGTGCAGGGAGAAAATTATGTCATCTGCGCATGACGTCATATGGGTGACAGTCGTTAGTTCTCGGCTAAGGCTACTATAAAGGGTATCTATATCTCTAGTAGCTCTATTCTCGGCGTTTGTTTACATTCGTTGCATTTGATCTGGGATACATTTGATTTGTGTTGTTAATTTGCTTTTATACCTAGTCGGAAATGGCAAGTTGTGCTATAGCGTTGTGTCAGAATGATACACGCCAATACTTTTTTGGCGGAAAACTAAAAGTCAAGGCATCACATACCATCGTTTTCCAAGTGATCCAGAACTTCGTAAGTTATGGACTATTCGCTGCAAAAGAGCAGATAATTTCAACATCGAAAATGCCAGAATACGTGCTCTTCATTTTATCATAATTTTCCTTTTATGAAGTAGACTTATAGCGAGATATTTAATCTCAGTGTCGTGTTTACCAATAGTGACTACCTGAATGATTAGTTGATAAATTCGCTTATCCAAGTATATTAAAGAACCTTGGCACCTGCTTTCCAGAATGCATCTTACCAAATTGGAGAAGAGCTTTTAAAATTACAATTAACCCTACGTAAGGTATGTCAATATTTCTTCATCAGACTGGACTGCCATACTCTAGCCGAGCGGAAAAACGCAAGGATTCACCAAGATCTCGTAAGATGGTATGTAGAAATTACAAAATTAAAAATATGAAATCGTGGTTTATGAAATATTGAAGCATTTAAGATCTAAAGGGTATTCAAATTTTCAAAAAAAAAAAAATGTTTAATATTTATTTGTTTACTTTATTAAACATTTCTTCCAATGCAAGTTATCTAAGTTTTTTGTGTGTGTGCTAATACTTTATCTTTAATTCTATAAACAGATATAATTTAATTTATATAAGCTATTCGCACCAACACGCATGCGCATTGAATTGTACGATCCGTCATTTGAGCCCAATCGAAAAGAACGGATTCTACGTACGCGAACTGCCTAAGTGTTGTAGTGAATCACTTTTTTTAAAGGCGGGTTACTATTTTTTTTTAAAGGCGTAGTTTATCATTTTTTAAGCGTTGGCGACTTTCAAAAATTTAGAGAAGAAAATGGGTTCCTTTTCTTATAAAAAGAAAGAACACATTTACTTTTATTAATATATACATAAAAAAGGGCGGATTTCTATGTTTGCAATGTGTATCGTTTTCCTGAACGGATGGAATAGTTTAAATGACTGATTTTTTTGGGGGGGTGGACAAAATCTTGCTTATATTTTTCGTACTTCTTAGAATACATTAAGCACGCTGGGCCGGTATTCCAGAGGTCCACCATGGTTCGATTCCTGGCGAAGGCGTTTGCTATTTTTCGTCTCTCCTGCTTCCAAAAAAATACCTAATGTTTCTACAGTGGCGCCCGAACTAAAAGGGTGTTGGATGATGATTCTCCTCACCCAGGATCTGGCGATTGGGTCCCCTAAACTAAAACCCCAGTCGCCCTTAAGAAAGGGGGTTGAATATAAGGTATTTCTCCTGCTTTCCTAGCGTGACTCAGTCGTGTAGTTGGCAGCACACTGAGCCGGTATTTCAGAGGTCCATGGTTCGATTCCCGGCGAAGGTATTGCTAATTTTGTATCTCTCCGACCTGCAAAGAAACCCTAATGCCTCTACAGTGGCGCCCGAACTAAAAGGGTTGTTAATGATGACTCTCCACACCCAGGATTTAGCGATAGGGTCCCCTAAAAACCCCAGTTGCCCTTTAAAAGGGGGAGTACATAAGGAGCCATAGATTTATTTGGAGAATAAAAGGCTCGCAGAGCCCGTAATATTTTAAGAACGTTAGGTAAAAACTTAAAATTATTAATGAAATAAGAATTATGAAAAGAAGTACAAATACTAACCTTTTCCTTTCAGCAGTAGCCCGTACTGTTGTTTTGTATACTAATGATAGTTAGTTACGTAATTAATTAGTTCATCTATTGTCCCAACTTATGTGATTTAGTTTGTAACTAAGATTATTTTTATTTCGAGTGCATATTTGGTTGAACGTTAGGACTTATTTCCTTATTTAAGTATGCTATTGAAAAAAAAAAAAATGAATTTAATTATTCATTGCATTACTGATTTGTAACTTGTATGTGTTCATTTAAGCTGTTATTAGTAATGTGCCGTTTCTATTTTTCGTAATGTGCTGAACTGTTTAGTATTTATTACTGAATTACTGTCCATTAGTATGGCTAATTATTGTTGCAAATATTGCAAACTGCATATTTCAGAGAAAACGTAAATTTGATTATTACAGCGCAAAAATAGTATTTTGTGTGAATATATAAATAGTTATTAAGTTATCGGACTGTGTGAGGACGATAGTAGTGTTGGAGTAGCCTATATAAAGGCGTTAAAGTGAAGTGGAATTTTAAAGTGCCAGTTTAATTTAGAGAAATTAGTGTGTTAATTATTGAATCCACTTCATTCTTGATTTGTAACTTGTATATATTTATTTAAGATATTAATTAGTAATATGTCATTTCTATATTTTTTTTGCTATGCTGAACTGCTTTAGTATTTAGTACTGAAACATTTTCCATTGGTCTGGTTAGTTATTGTTGCAATTACTGCAAAATTGCGGACTTTAGATAAAATGTAAATTTGATTATTACAGTACAAAAGTAGTCTTTTGTGTGAATATGGAAATATTTATTATGTTATCGGGCTCTGTGAGGACGATAATAGAGTTCTTGAGTAGGCTACGTTAAGCTGTAAAATGGCTTATAGGCTACGTGAAGATTACTGTAAAATGGAATTTACTTTGAAGTTACTGTTAGTATCGAGAAATTGGGATAAAAGTATTCAAAAATTGCATTAGTGATTTGTAGTTTCTTTATATTTGCTTAAATGAAAATTGTTATTATTTAGGAATGTGTGATCCCCATTTTTGTACTGTGCTGAACTATTTTAGTATTTAGAATGAAATCGTTTTTTATTAGTATGAGAAAGCATTGTTGTAAATATTGAAAAAAATCCCTATTTCAGGGAAAATGTAAATTTGATTATTTACAACTGCATTACGAGGGTTCGCATGGGGTTTTAATTATGTAACATTTGGTATGTATGTCGGACCACCAGGCGGCTGAGCGATAAAGTCTGAACACGGGGGTTAGAATCCTGCGAATTAGCTTACTGCATGGGTGTTTCCGTCGTTTCGCTCATGGCTCATGCATAACTTCCGTAAGAGCCAATTACTCTTAGAAAGTCCACAGCGAAGAGATCTCTCCAGGCAAGTAGCTCTCTTATGTTTTGCCATAAGTAAAGAAACTAAGCCATTTGTTATGTATATTTCTTTTATAAAAAATGGCATATAAAGAATTTCTTACTGTAAAATGGAATTTACATTTTATCTCAACCCTACCTATTTCTGTGTTTATTTAAAAAAATAAAATTTGTTAGAGAAACTTAAAGGAAGATGGGTGAGAGCGGCAGTTTTTTGCTCCGCTTAGGAAAAATGCTAAATCCAGCGCTGGAACTAGATAATAGTACGCAGGCGTGTAACACTTCTTCAATTGACTTTAATTAATGTTAATCGTATGTAAATATTTTGTAACCTAATTAAATACTTCTTATTTATAAATAAAATAAAGTGAGAAAGAAGTCCGATTACTGGATTACCACCACAGATGGCAGCAATGTAAAGAACCTTTCGTTTCAAAACCAATCTTACAACGGATATATCTTTATCCATTTTTTGCAGCAATTCCATTTTTTGTTTAATGAACATTGAAACATGCTTTCGCTTTGTAGGTCCTGTTGCAGCTTCAGAATTAGAAACTCTTTTCGAATAATCAAAAGTTCAAATTTTAATTTTCATAAAAATGTTGTGATACCAAGCTGGCAAAAAATAAGCTGGATCAAATCAGAAAGTTAAGGAATGTGCTAGGTTACCTGAAATTCCGTGGAATCAGCCAAGTATATTTTTAACCTAGCACCGGTTCTGCGTTTATGTGAATAACAAATCAGTTATTCTGAATTCAAATAGCACTAAATGTAATCGTTTGGGCTATGAGTATCAACGAATTTAGCAAAATTAAATTT